ATTTTAGCTTTCTTTGCCTAGCTACCTGTTCCCCCCCCCCCCACCCCCCCGTGTAGAATGATTGCATATAAGATATAAGCCAGTATAAAACCCAAAAAGACTGGTAATTAGTGGCGATCGAAACATCCACCCCTGTCAAAGCATATCGGGTATATGTGCAACGTCAGTCTGGGGGTCATCGCCCGCCCGTCCGTCCCTTGATGGTCTTTTTCTTCCCTGGCAGTAACGGTCCCAAACGGGACGCTTGTTTTTGATGCTGAGAGGACTACCCCAAAGCAATCGAGTTTGACTTGTATAAGCTGAGCTCCGGTCTAAACTCTGTCTCGCCCTTCACCCTCGTCCCCGAAGTGGGTTCGGTAGGAACAGCAGGCCAGTAGCTCACGCTCTATTCGGACCGGAAGGCCAGAACAGACTCCACCAGCCTGCAGCATCGATTTCCCCAGACTCACTGAGACAGACATACAGATTAGACAGTCCAAAGTGGGCAGAAACGGGCATTGAGAAGGCCAGGAGCAGATGCTGTCCTAGCCCACCATCATAAATCTTAGATTGCTCCGTGTTTGGCCAGAGATGGGTCGCTGCAGCATCGAGATAAGGCTCCTTGACTGGTGGAGAGTAAGTGCCGCGGGATGATGATCATGAGGATTCAGACATGAAAGTTCGCGGCTCCGGATGGCAAAAGACAGTGTTGAAAATGCCCGCAAGAAAAAAGAAAGAAAGAACAAAAACAAAAGAAAACCGGACATGACGGAGGCTCCTTATCCCGGAGTCCGACCTCTTCCCATCTCATCTTTGGAGTCTTTTTCCCCCTTCCACCGGAAAAGCAACCTGCCGCCCCCGGGTCCCGAAAAGACGCAACGATACCCGAGGTCAGGAGGCGGCGTCGTCTTCCGCTGCTCTAGTACCTGGCTGATCAAACCGTCCGCCCAGAATGTGTAGGCTCCCGGGCAGACACACGGACGGGGGAAGGCGGCCTCTTGTCCCGAGTTTGTGGATTGAGGGTTTCCTGGCCAAGGACAGCGCCAAAGTGTGTGCATGGGATTCCCAGATCTGGACTACTTCGGGCAATCCAAATATCAGCGCTACCATCAACAAGAAACCATCAAGAAAATAATGCTGGGGA